TCGATTTGCTTGCCCAGCTTTACTGCACGTATGAAATACACCAGTACTGACTTAGTAAGCTGGAAACAACAACAATCAAGGTTAGCCTAGTCGTCCATCCGGTGGATCGCTGATGATTACATCAGATATCCTGCCTGACAGTCAGCTTACTGCGTCCGTATTGATAGTGCGGTAAAGGTGGACAAGCAAATCGATCCAAGTGTGATTAAATTCACGGCGCACGGTGAGCCTCGTAGCTTAATGGTAGAGCGTTGGTTGCGCAGACGCCTTCCCTGCTGTGGCTTCGACTCCTGCCAAGGCCGCGAATTTTTCACAATTGGTTTAATCGAATTATTGAACTCTGCCAAATCTCTATCAAGTTACTATTATTTCATGTAACTTGTAGTGGTATGCTTCATTCCCTTCTGTTTTTTTTAAAGTTTTCTATTCCTTTGTGTGTTTTTTGTTTTTGTGAAAGGTGTTCTCTTCTTGTAATACTTTCGTACGGAATTACTGAGATCCGCAGTTGTCTCGTGTTGGCTTTCGAGATTATATCATTTTTTCTTGTCGTGCTTTTTGCCTGTTCTATGTATTCATAGTACTTGTTTTATTTGAAAATTCCACGTGCTCGCCCGTTCTTGTACTGACAACAGCCCCTACTTATTTCCCTTCCTATAAGTTGCTCCTTATAATTAAACCGGCCTTCACTATTTCCACACCTAGTTCATCCTTCAATGACAGTGATTCGGATTTATCCAACTCCGCTCCTACGGCACCATCAAACGACGCTGAGACGGCGTCAAAGTCTGCCTACGTTGGTGTGGCTACCGCAAAGTATGACTACGAAGGTTCGTCTTCTCTCCTTTCTCTCCTCAATTCGTTCGCATATGTTTTTTTTAAATGAGTCATGTGTAGGTCGCTTGTGTTATTCCTGTAGGTGGTTACTTAAGTGGCAGTAGGAATTCGCAAGCAAACATACATTTCCTTTCCCTTCCATTTGCAACTACCTTATTAGGTAGTGCACGTGTAGATCTAGTGGCCAAATTCCGGTATATATATCCGGATCTTTCTAGTAGGATTCCATGATGGAATCCGCTTGGATCTGCTACTTGTCCCCTCTAGCACAGGAGGCTGTCATTTTTCTCCTTCGCTCACAAACCTAACATGACTCAATCAGGTCAATGATTATTTTGTCTTGTCGCGCCAACCGGTCTAGTGTGACAATCAATATTTCTCGCTGGTTTTACTTTCTTCAGACGACGGTAAAAGCCATTGGCGAATTCAAGAGCAATGATTAAATTATGATTGTCCCAGCAGACGAAGGATGGACAACCGTAATCATGGCCAATTCCAACCGTTCGGAGTTTACTTTGATCCACGACCCCCCTAATAGCAAATCCAAGCGGATTCCATCATGGAATCCTACTGGAAAAGTCCGGATACATATGCCGGATTTTGCCCACTTGATCTGCATGTGCTACAAGGGTAGACAACATTAGCCCGGCTTAATGGCAGCAGCCTTCGAACACCCACAACACTGCAAGTATCTTTATATGTCTACTGGCTACCTGGTGAACTGCAAGTCTGCCTGCTTATGCCGTGTGTGCGTCTACCACTACTAGCACAGTATTGGCTTGCATTTGATACAGCAGCCCACGCCGGACCCCGTTTAGTCTCCGAGACTCCGGGAAAAGATGAAGAGTGCGGAAGCGCTAACTATGTCTTCTATCACTTTAAACCAAAGTCTGAGACCGTCACCTTCTGTACCAACCTGTTGGTACACTTGGTTGACTTCATCGAAACCGGTGGTCAAACACACACACTACCACAGTAGATGCATGACCGTGTTACGCATCTCGCACACTTGACTTGGAGACACTAAATGTTTGCTCTCTAATCTCCTCAGTCCTTAATCTTGAACTCTGTCTATGTGAGGCTGTTGTAGCCCGTATGAAACAACCGGGTCTCACCTGCGTCGCCAGTTCTTATAGCCCACTTGTTATAACCCGACTACTAGGCAGAAGAAGGCACGAGCGCAGTTCTGATGGGCAAAGGCTTTATTTAACACCGCACAAGGAGCGGGGTTTGTAGGTTTTGTTTAGCTTGTCTACTCTGGCGTAGTTATAAGCTTCTCGTTTCTTTAGGACATTCGTAGCGTGTGGTGT